TATTAATTATGAATCGGCAATTGATTCTAATTTACTGAATGATTCCTCAAACTAATCTTCTTCATCCAGTTCTCTGTCGTTCATTTCATGCTTTATTTCGAGCGCCAACTCTTCTTTTAGTCTTAACAATGTTAGTCGTAGCTCAGCCTCAATCATTGTTTCGTCAACAGTTATAAAGTTTCGATTTTTTAGAAGTATGTTTGACAGCTGTATTTAAAAAAAAATATATATTTTTTTGAAAACACACTATTAATCATATTTATAACCGATAATAAATCGTACAATTACAATTATTATTTACATTTATAATTTCCATATGTTAAAAGAGAAAAGATAATCTTAGGTAAAAGATGTTTTGTGCTCTTGTGGCGGTCATAAAAACAAATGGATGGTTCCAAAAGTGTTTCATTGTTTTTCGCTGTTCCAACTTTTAATGTAACATTTATACACTTTGTATGGCTGGAGTAGTGACGGGTCTGTCTTTGGCAGCAGCTGTGCGGGAGTACATCATTGGTTGTAACTTGGGTTTGGGGGTTCTGAGTGGGGGTTCCATTTTCCGTATGGTAATTAAAGGAGAGGGATTGTCATCTAGAGACTGATGATTTTCTGTTTAGTTTAAGCTGTTTATATTTTCTTGTTTTGATATATTTCATTTTGATTGTAATTTTTAACTTTTTCTTGCTTTTAGGATGCACCCCCATCCAAAAGTGCATATAATAATAAATTATTATTATTACCATCATCACCATCATCATCATCATCATCATCATCATCATCATCATCATTATTATTATCATTATTATCATTATTATCATTATTATTATTATCATCATCATCATTATTATTATTATTATTATTATCATCATTATTATTATTATCATGAAATAAATATAAAATATAATTACCGTTCCATCTGATACAATTTACAACAAGGTTTCCTTCCTTGCTGTAATCGGCAACTAACGATTCTAGCATCGCGTCCTCTGTGCCTTTAATGACAATAAATCTTGCTACGTCATGATCACTCGTAGACCTACTAATAACAATAGGCTGAATTGTATCTAGAAATAAAGAAGAACAAGAATGGTTCTATAATCAGTAATCTTTGAACATATTTTTCCCAGCTTATTTTTTTCTGACGTCATAAATAGAAGGTACCGGTAGTTTACACACTGTTCAATGAGTTTATTTGTACATTTTTAGGCAAAGAATAGCTCATTTTAGAGTTTAAAAAACAGTGATTAGGTTACAGTACATTTCACATTGTGTGCATTTATTATTAATAGTCTCGACTTGTGGATTCCGTTAGGAAGGGTTTTTGATGTCAATGTAACTACTGTATAATAAATAGTGCGAATGCAAAGCATGGCCGGCGGAAGCGGGGGAGGGGGCCG